ACGGTAGGAGGCCGTAGAGTTAACAGAGCGAGGAATAATCCATTCAGCATGTCGACTCAACAATGTATGATACGACAATCATTGTGATTGATGAGGTGGAACGGTTGAAAGGACTCTCGTCGACATCCATTTGCATTGAGGAAAGTCACCGGATAAGAAACGGACGGGTGAAAGCCAAAGCCTCTTTTTATAGAGAGAAAGGAGGCTGTAGTCCATTGCTAACCAAGGATATTAAACAGAAAAGGGTTTGTGTAGAGTTACCACAACAGGTAATGGAGAAGAGCGATGGTATACAGAGAAAGCTAGAGTTAGCCTACGATTTTCGATATAAGAACTATAAAGAAAGTGTGTAGAAAAGTCATAATAGTATTTTTTTTTCCACATGAATATAATATAGTTTTGTCTTATAAAATACATAGTTTATTTTACATTATAATTCTATATGTATCAGAGATGTACAATTTTAGATCATACACTTCACATAATAAATTTATAGGCTAATTTGAATTCGTTTCCACTGTTTAATGTATGGTTTATCACGCAAATTGAACAACTGAACTAAAGAATAGAAAGAAAGAAAAAAAAAAACATCATTTGAACTAAATCGCAATTTTTGTGAAGAAAGTAAAAGCATCACACCTAATCTGTAAACACAACAATTTAGAAGCCATTTGTACTGCAGCAAAACAGTCACGAGATAACATCATTCGAAAATGAGTGCACACGACAGCGCTCATTCGCAAACAAGAAAAAAAAAGAACCTTACCCCAACCGATGCAGATAATAAAAGTGTGTGTTATCGCTTTAATATTTAACTTCGAATTGATTCAAACCTTGGTAAACTCGAGAACATCGATACGATTATTTTCTGACAATGTATCATGAAAAATTTATCCTAGTCGTTGTAGTAAACGGTATAATGATTCGCTCTTATAGAAATATGATTCTTACAAAGTATTCACATCTGTCTTTTTTTTATGTAAATTCTAATTACAGCTTTTTAGTTCGAAATCTGTTTAATAAAGTGTAGGTATACATATATAGTTTTAGTCTAATTTACTTGAAAGATATAAATTAACTAACTTCATAACACATATTGAAAGAATGTGCTATAAGATTTGCTGTTTTATAAACCCACATGCGCTCACAAAACACATTTTGAAGTCAATTATGGAACATTAAAATATCCTGTTTATTTAATCAATCCTGTAAGTTTTTATGTCTGCCACCTGCGGAGAATAGAGAAGATAGGACGTGATGTCCTTGAACTACGTTCCAGATTAAAAACAAACAAAAAATTCTTACCCTTTGACCTCTATTCATATAAGACTTGACAGAACAGAGATGATCCTTTGTAATTTAGACTAGAGTCTTTTATCTTTAAAAATAATTACATACGCTTTGTAAATTTAAGAATGTGTAGTAAAAAACCGAAAGATGTAACAATAAAGTTACAAAATATCAAGTTAAACATCAATTGAAATCGATACACAGCAACTAGTAGTTAATAAGTAAATCTACTTGTTAAAATTTTAAAATTTCCTTTTTTGGATGAAGAAAGTTTGGAAAATTTTAACAATAATTTTAAAATGAATAAACAAGTTAAAAAAGGAAAGAAAGAAAAACAAGCAGGTTATGCCAAGTTAGATAAACCTGCATTACTCGGACGATAAGAGATGATAACGGATTTTGAATTACATTTATCAATGTAGTCGATTTGCTAATGTCGAGACAGAATGATTTTATTTTTAACAGATAATTTGTTACACAAAATTACTTTAAAATTTGAAATTCCTATTTCTTATAAACTAATTTTTGGTTGAAACGTGACAAGAATACAGTTTCTAAAATGATAAATTACATTTTGCCCGTTAGGCATAAAAAGATTAAAAAGGAATATTAGATCTTGTTTGTTTCGAATACGGCGTTTTATGTCTTGTGGCATAAAATATTTACTTATAAAGTAAGCGGCATAAATTACAAAAAAAAAAAGTTATATAAACTTTAAAATTGAACAAATTTTGGAAAGTTTCCGAAAAATGCGAAATCTCTGCCAAGGGCAATCATCCAAATCGAGAAAAATTTCTCTAGAGCCAAAAAACTGTTAGTAAGAGAATCATTTTTCTCTTCTTTTTTTTCACTAGGAATTTTAAACCCGATTTCTATAACTCGTGATTATTCTATATAACAAGTATTATTCTATAACAATTCAAACTGTCTTTGGAGTAAAAGCAGAAAAAAAGACATTCAACTTTATATGAATACAGATAAACTTCGAAACGAAATTAATTGAATTCATTATATACAGACCTAATTGAAATAGTTTCTTTCAAAATTACAATTAGATCTTTATCTAATAAGCGTAGAACTATGTAAAAATTGACTAAACGTCCATTTTTATACTTGATGACCTTGGCCTCATAAGAACGCGAACGTTGCCATTTCTTTAAATACAGAACTTTCATCAATAGATTGCTATTAGCGTAACAGAACTACTGGCTTATAAACCTCATTACATGGAATAATCAAAGAATCTTCGTCTATAACGAACATAATTCAATCTAAAAACATCTTCTATCTCCATAAGAATACGTGCAATTGGTGAATTGCTTTTTGTCCTTATGTTACAATATGAAACTAATGATCACTACTAAGTTTTGGCTCTATGGAGGACTTTTCATATACTAGTGATGTAATCACACTTCTGTGTGATTCCTCCTCCATACAGCGAAAACTTAGTGATCATTAGTTTCATATATAATACGTGCAATGTTGATGTACTGTACTTAAATCGCACAGTTATGTAATTGTTGGAGAGTAAAACGTGAGATGTATCATTCCTAAGAGATAAATTACAACAGAAAAAATTTCAACATGGTGGTTATCTTGTATCGAATACAAGGAAATTAGATCTTTAGAGTTTCACACGCGATTCGAAGCGTGAGTCAGGGCTTTCAGTTACCGACTTTGAAACTGCATTTGTACAAGCGATTAAACTAAGGTTTTCTTTATCATCTCGTGCTTATCTATCAACACAGCGTGAAATATATTTTAAAAAATTGTGGCTTTGAATCTTTTCCTTATTTTTTTATTATTACTATTATTATTATGAGATAAATGTTACAAATTTTGCAATGATGAACCATGACCACTTTCGTATCATCTATTCACTTGCTTAACAGAGCGAAAACATTCGGCAAAGAAAAATATCTTAAAGGTAAATAAGTATATCTAATCACAAACGTATTTATATACAAATATTATGGCCCTAAAACTATTTTAACCATAATCATTATCGCCGCATTCTTAGAGCAAATGCAATAACGACTTCACACCTTAAATAGTTAAAATATATTGTTGGTGAAAGTTCCCGGGGAAACAATACGACCGACTTTATTCTATAAAGGAGGATAAACAATAAATGATTTTTCCGCCATACGAAGTGTCGAAAAGGAAAGGCAAAGCAACAGATTTCCTCCTTTCCCACCCAGACTGTCGCCTTTGGGGTGAGGCTCTGTTATCGCTGGAGGGAATTGTAGTTAAATGGGAAGAGCGTGGAAACTGGTACAAGGACATTGCGCAGATTGGGGTCGATGGCCCAACTCCGTAGATATACACGAACAAAGATAAAAATGAACATACGCATTGAGTTCGTCTTCCAAGCTATCTATCATTCCTCCATTTGTTAAAATCCAACAGGTGCGGTTTCGTTCTAAATTCTTTTTTTCTGTTATTCTCGACTCCCGCTACGTTTCTATTTATCTAAATTTTGTCCTATTTAAGATTGCTTTCTTTAAATCAAACAGTTACAATGTATTAAATCAAGACAGTTCTTTTTTTTTTCTTTTAAATATCATCTGAACTTGAAATAAACAGAAAAAATCTCAATAAATGAATCAACTAATGATTAGCATTAAGATATTAATAGGCATAGAATAGGAAAAAAAATCTGTTAAATTCTTAATCTACACCGACGTTTTTAACTAGTAAAGCATGAATGGCATAATTTGGCATGCTCTTCCATAATTAAATTTTTTTTTAACGAGTCGGCAACGCCTCTGGCGTTGTTAAATGAGAGAACTTTTGTGTATTTGAGCGAAGTTTCCGTCCAAATCAGATAAGAAAGGGGAAAGAAAAAAGTGGTTTCTTCGATCCAACTAATATGTGTACTTATTCGTAAATCATTCAATAGCTAGAAGCAAGAAGGCGTAGTGCAGAAAGCTTCGTCAATTTAGACACTTCACATAGATCCTGGGGTCGTCGAAGGTTTTATCAACCCACATCTGATTCGTTTTTCTATTCAAATATAAAGATATAAGTGTTGCATCATTCAATAGAGGGAAAATTCTTTTAGAAAGGGAAACAAATTTTAATTTCATTCGAAATTATTTTATGTAATAATAACAAAAATCTACATACAATAGAAGCGAGATTATTTCATTAAATATGTTATTATATTGAAAGATAGCAAAGCAATATTATAAACGTTTATTGTATCATTCGTTTAGATTGCCAATTTTAATTAATTTCTTTTTACTATTGTCATTTCCCAATATAGATATTTAACAGTTGATTGGCAGAAGTTCGAGTGAATGTTCGAAAATTTTGTAAACAACAAACTAAATAAATGAAACCGCCTATATGCCAAACACGCAGGTTAGGTCGTGTAGACGTCCTTGAAGTTATTTTCATAAAATAACTACTTAGCCTATTGACAACGATATACAGTACACATGCAGGTGTGGTCTTGTGCACTTTTTATAAATACATATAGACTTTTTTTCCCTCTCCCTTTCTTTTCCTGTTTTTTGTTCTTATTTTTTTCTTTCTATAGGAATGTAGGAGGCGATTTTCATTTAATAGAAATTGTTTCCATTCACATTTTGACATGACATAGTTGTTAAAGCATCTTAAAGAATGTAATGTATACGTGTTTGATAAATGATAAGAATTACGATCATTCTCTAAATTTCTGCTATGTAATTTAAAAAAAAAAAAAAACTGGATTGAATTGTTTCAAATCATTTTAATTTTTATCTTATTTTCCTCCACCTGGTAAACTTTAACAATAAATTTAAGTTGTTAGACAAATATTGACTATCATTCCATCATTGTGACAATGTATGTCTTTGATATCTGGCATCATTCCAAAGGTAATTACGAGAGAGAGAGAGACAACCATCTGCTTGACCTGTCACCTCATTTCGTATATGACTTCAACGCCCGATTCTTAAACCAGAATTAATCATCGGAGTTCAGATAGTAACCAATTAACGTTAGTGTATTTAAAATAAAACGAAGAATAATTGGTAAACTTTTGACTCTAATTTTTTTTTTAAAAATCACGTATACAGCAGGTCTCTAGTCATTTACCTGTAGATGAAAACGATCTGCTATCATCCGATTACCTGCATTATCATCATGAATCGGCTAAGCACTACGACGTTCCAGTCTGATTAATGGTTATGGACCTATTCGACACTCGTAAATAGTTAAAGAATATAAATTAGTTTTAAAAATAAAATTTTAATGATATAATTATGTTAATTAATAATCCAGTTTTCTTATTAATAGCATTTGCCTTTTTTTTATTTTGTAATGTTTAACGTTGTGATTTTTGCCTTTTTAAAGTTTTTTTTTTATAAATTAAGGATTCAAAATAATGCTTGAAATTAATAAGACCTAATATAATTTGTTTCTTTTTTTTTTCCTTTTCTTTTTAAAGACGTTATCTTTAAATTTATAGATGAAGTTTTTATTTTTATATCTTTATCTTATAAACAAAAAATTAGATTGCATTTTATGCAAGATCGATTTAGGTATTTTAAACATTTGATTTATAATTAAAAAAGACGTAATTAAAAAAAAAAACAGGAAGTTTTAGTTTATCGTTAACATAATTTGTTTATTGAGACAAAATTAAAAATGCTAAATAATTCCAAACTAAAAATGCAAATAAGCTAGAAAATGACAATTAATATTTGTTGATATCATTCCTCTTTTTTTTTTTCTTTTTCTTTCTTTCCTCTTGTCCAAACAGGAAAAATTACAAGACGAACCTTGCTATTTTACTATAATTAAAATAGGCCATTTGATATAAAAAGTCAAAGCCATTCATTAAATTCTAGCCTTTAGCTATGGTTCAAAACAACAACCTTTCACAAAACGTCCTTCCTTTCTAATTCAAAAAAAAAAAAAAATAACTGTCGTTTTTACCAAACTAGATAAGTAAATAATTTATTAACCTTTGATATTCATGAGTAATTTTTAATATATTTATTGGATTGATCTAGGACAGGGTGATGAGTATTTTGAATCTCGATAAACTGAATTGGTAGCTTCAACTTATTACTATTTTTTTATTTAAGAAAAGCAATTCAATGAATGACCAAGCTGTATTCTTAGATCGTTTGACTCATTTCATTCTTAGAGTATTACGGTTTAAATTCATTAATTCATCTTCATGTTCGAAACAAATAAGATGATTCAGCGGGATTTTTGTAGATAACTTCCAAAATATTTCTATACATAAAGTCACCAGCACTGAGTTTTTTGTGTGTGTGATCCGTGTTTTATATTAATCGAGGTGGGCACGGTACGTAAACGAAAAGATTTTGAAACATGGGTAAATTTTATGTGAATGGAAGAGATGGGGATCATTTTACGCGCAGGAAAAGTGGCCGCTCACGTGACAATTTTTCCCTCCTCGTTAGTCCTAACGTCTCCATCATCTTTTCCTTTATTTTGGGTTTCCTTGGTCGTCAATGAATAAGATCGGTGGAGGGGATCACAGGTGAGGTTATCCTAATCGTAGGGGACCGACTTTTTTTGTGTGGTCGGTCCAATACCTAACTGCCCATTAAGGGAGGTTAGGAAGAGAAAATGGAAGAGATTGGGACAGATGGTTGGCCACCGTGGCCACTAGGGCACCGATGGTAATATGTCAACTCGGTCGCTGTCTGTGAATGAACAGGAGAGGACGGGGCGTGTCTGTCTCCTTCAATATCTTGACAGATGTTGATTCTTTATGGTTTTTCATTTCCTTTCTGGACTTTGTTTAAATTCGGATGATTCCATTTTCTCTAGGCCAACAGGATGGGAAAGACATAGGCGTTGTAACATATGCTCTATCTATTACAATGATTATTTTTAGAATGTATAATGGACGATAACGTAGGACAGACGTCGTGTAGCATCACCTTCTTTAATTTATTCTTCCAAAAGAAAACAACTCGGTGAAGCTATCGTAAAAAGATGTCAACAGGCTGCGGGGGAGGCTGTCACTTTGCTAGATTCGAAGGTCATTATCTCCACGTGTGAGGTGATACTACTGCCATAAGATAGTTGAAAATGGTCATTTACTGTAAACTAATTTGTCAAGTTCAACACCAAAATAGGAAAAGAAGCCAGATAGCGTTTAACAAAGTTGATTTTATGGTGTTTAATTTCGTCAGTCCCCTTTATTTTATGAATCTATGAAACAAAGCTTCAAACAATGTTAAATATCTTAACGCACCAGTCTCATCCAATTCGTCAATCTTCGATTCAATAGCGATTCAAGGTTACTATATATCAAACAAGATCTTTTAAAAGCTTTCCTGTTACAACTATCATTAACGTATACAAATATTAAGAATATAAGTATACATTTTTATGGTTAGTTGTATATTTAATTATTCTTGGATATGCATTGAGTTTCACGGCTTTCAATTTCGTAAGCCAGTTTTACTTTATAAAACTCGTTATTTAAACGAGTACGTTTATCAACCCCTAACTAACAAGGTCTTCGAGATTTTTCTCTCTACTATGAGTCCCGCCCAATATACATTTTGGCAAATGTCCCATCGAACGTCGTTGGACGTTGCGTCAAACCAAAAACTCTCCAATAAACAACTCCACCCAAACACCAATCATGCTATTTTAAGAATAGAACTGAGTCAAACTAATCATCTCAAAAGATTCTAAAAATTGAATATTTGAGTGATTTTTCCCTTCGAAAGTAAACATTTACAATAAATCAATCTTAAAACATCCGAATGATTCAACAGAAATTTTCTGTTAATTCATTAAAATCAATACGCAAAACACCACGATGGACACATACATAAAGGAATGTTCTTTCTTAAAAATTTGAGATTACTCAACAAATAAATTGTTTTTTCGTAATTCAAATAGAATGATTTTTATATTTTTCTTTATGAAAACCTCCTTTACTCTGAATTTATCTGAAAGACAATTATAAATTATAAATATTCGCCCTTCTAATTTAAGGAAAATTAGTGAACTTCAAAGAGAAAACTCTTAAAATGCATATGAAAAAATCAATAAATTTTTGCACCGATTGAAAAATACTGACACGTTTCAATCAATATATAAAGAGGAAGAACCTTCCTGGTAGCTGTAAATATATTTAACATTAAAATATAATAGTATTGTTTCAATTATTTTGCCATATTAAAGTTACTTATAGATTAAGTATAAATTATAAAGAATTTTGTTTATATTTTAAACCTTTTATAGTGTATAGTTTTATATCAAGTATATTTTTGAACGTAACGTAATTATTCTGGTATGAGAATATTACATATATTTTTACAATGACAGTTTTCCTTTGAAAGAACCGTTGAAAGTTTTCCATTTAAGGATAACAAAACTCGGTTACACTTAAAGAATGACAATTTATATTTTACCCCCACAGAAAATTCTATTAGTTAAAATTCACCTCAGATTCTTTGATGTAAGGGGAATTACAAACATTGCACAGGCCCCAAAAAACCTAATCGCCTCTTGACCTGATTCTTACTTAAAGACTAATACTATTTTTCCAATAATAAGCTGATATAAATTTTATATTTTCCTCAATTCAAAAAGGAATGTGTTTAATGAAAGAAAATTTTAATTGATTTATAAATCTTATATAAAAGTTAAATTTATATGCTGTTAAAAAGGAAAAAAAAAAATAAGCTTAAAAAACAAGTCAGTATTAGTTCAAAATTAATTATTCCATTTAAAATAACTAAAAATTACGAACTGTTATTTGATTTTTCTAACACTTATAAAATGGATTCGATGTTTTCTTTCTCGTTTTAACGAATAAATTCAACATCCATAAAACATACCAAAAACAATGGTAAAAATATTCTGTCCTCCTTAAATCCCATTTAATTCTTGATCAGATTATGAAATTGTTGTGAGATTTGTTGTGGGAATAAACAACTCTTGTGTTTCCTCCAAAATTATCAAATTGTAAACGACAATTTTGTATATTTAAAGTTATTTTGTTTCAAACAGATAGACAGGATAATATCCTATAAGACTGGCCTATTGCTGGTATTAAGAATTCGTGTCAAGGCAAAAGGTGAGATGTTAGAAACATGACTTGTAAATAAAAGAATTATGCAAAACGTACGAAAAATTTTGCATTAGGGAACCACTTAACAATGTCAATCGAATCATTAAGACTTGTATTTTAAGGAGGGAATTTACTAAATGACCTTCTTAACTTAAGACTTCTTGATAGTGTGTGTCATAAGGCGGTTACAAATTTTATCGTGTTGAGTTACTGGCAGAAAATTGCACTCAGTAATTATTACATTCAAAATATACCTATCGTGTTATTGTTTTTCAAAGCGTAAAAGATCAATCTATGTAATTTCCCTTTAGATTTCCTCTAAAACCTTTCACTGAACCGTCATCTACCAATTTATTGTCAACAATGCAGATGGAAGCAGCGAATTGTGACGTAAAAAATCATAGATCTTATCTGCGCCAAGTCTTATTTGGCTACCTGTTGACGTCATTTCGAGCGAAACAATAACAAATGTCCTAATTAATGTTAGTGAATGGGCGATGTTTAGATAGCAATTTCGTCTTTGTTTCTCTTAATCTTTTTCTTTACATTCTCTATGGCGATAATAAACAGAAGGTCACCGTTTTTTTTTTTTTTTTTGTAATTAGAGTTGTTTTATTAAGTAATCAATGGAGCATTTGGTATATTTTCAGGTATTTTGCCGATCTACTAATTAAGTAGAACGGGGGTAATTCGATAAAATGTGAAAAATTATTCATATTTATATATAAAGGATGTAAAACAAAATATATTTTAGTCAAAAAATAAATAGAACGTTTTATCACCAACGCGTGTACAGACAGGAAATATATTCTCAACACAAAACGGTTATTTGCAAGCAAATTGTACCAAAAAATAAAAAATAAAATAAACAATTTTGATATATTTTCCAATAAAGAGGGATCACACAATACATTTATCCAATAAACAGCAAAATAAATAATAAAAAATAAATTGTTGTATGCACAGAAACTTCCTATTAAATTCCATTCAATATAAAACAATTCCATGTCTACAAAAATCATTTTGTTCTTTTAAATTTTTTTTTTTCGGATACAACAATACTCTTTGAATTGAAACTTTATATTAATGACATTAACACTTTAAACACTTGATTATTTTCATCAGTCAACAGGAGCTAAGCTTAACAAGAAAATTTGAAACCATTTCCTCGCTACAAAGAAATGAAACAAAATACAATTCTTCTCTTTCGAAAGCTTCAGAAATTTCGTATTAAAATAGAAACCACAAGAATTTATCTCATTTAAAGATCTACGTTAAGAATTTTATGATTATTTAATGACCACAAGTAGCTTTAAATACGTGTTATTAATAACGAACAAACTGTTTTATTTTTATTTTTTTATTCTTGCTTTTAAAGGTTAAAAATCGTAAAAATTTAATTCTTATCTTAACCTCTCGGTAATGCGATACTTTTAAGATTATATACTACATTGATACTTTTTTAAACATATTTTTCATAAATTCTCGATTATAAAAAGATATTAAAAGTAATTTTATATTAAATTATTAGAAAATATATCTTAGTTTTACAATTTTTCTTCTATAATTATTATTTTTTTTAATCTGGTAACCTTAATCGCATGTTTTATTAAAGAGAAAGACACTAGTTGTAGCTAGTTAGGTCAACTTAGAGGCTCTAAAGCTTTCGAAATTTATAATAATAAAAACGTTAATTCTATAAAGTTGAGGGAAAAAATAAGCATCGATACTAAGTAATTTACCTAATACGTACGGTACTTACTAAACACTATTCTTATTAAGAAAAAAAAGCTGATATTTTACTTTATAATCTGTTATTTGAAGCTTAAATAAAAATTTTAAAAATGATTTTTTATTAACTGGTATGCCACTACATTAATTTAACTAAAAGAAAAGTATAATCTAAATATAGTACTGTATTTAATTTAGTAAACACAACTATAGTGAATAAAAAAAAAAAAAAAAACTTAATAAAGCTAGTTTAAAATTTTGATACGAAAAATGCTAAGAATAAGCTTATAATTAATCCGTTTAGAGTCTAAAATTAATCTTATTCCTCATTTTTAATTTGATTTAATTTTATTTTTTGAGTATTTAGGCCAACTAGTTGTTTATGAAACGTGTCAAATTTCATGAAGTTATTAGAACCTAAACACTTTTCTTTCTTAAAATTAATTTCCTCTGGAGTTTATGGTATTTAAAAAGAAATAAAAAAAAAAGTAAAGCTTTAAAGATAGGCATCGTTACGAAAGATAATCACACGCTTTAACATTCTATTTATTATTCTGAACGGTTTTTACGTGTGGAAGAACAACTCCGACACGTCCTTACTTCACATAATGTATCATATTAACTAATCCTGGCGTAACTGCTCTTTTCACATGGCAAAATCACGTGCTGATTGCCAGACACTCCTCTCATTCTTAAGAGGATACACCCTCCTCCTAGTGTGGGCGTCGACATGTTTTGCCGGTTGTTAGAATTCTCTAGCAGGTAGTAAGATTATAGCCTAAGAGTGTAAAAAAAAAAAAAAAATAGCTGAACGTGTCCTTCTTTATCGGTGTCTCAAAGTAATGTTTTACTCGACTAAAACTCCGAATTGTTGCGTAAATTGTCAAAAGAAAAAAAAAAAAGTCATATAAATACGATAAGTATCGTAGAATTTGAAAATGTGACCGGTTGTCCAGAAACTGTTGAGGATTATGCAATAGAGTAATGTTGCCATCTTCGGCGTGAGACAATGTCTCGATTCTGTTTCACACACGTTACCTTCAAGGATGATAACTTTCCAATAAACTTTCATTTGAGACTATCGCTCTATCTTTTAATTAAGAATTACATAACATTTATCTTGTGAAAAAAAAAGATTATTATTCGTTTTCTTCCATATACTTTTTTCTCGTAAGGATTTAAAGTTGATTAGAATTAAAAATTTAATGTTTTTTTTTTTTTTTATTATTATTTACGTTTCTAGAGAGCAGTTAAGAAGCGAACAATTGTTGAAGCATGCGATCGAACGTTGGAACAAAAATAAAGAATATGAATCACGCACGTATTCTTGACGTCAAATTCGTGATGTAGACAGGAAGATACAGATCACACCAAGGTCAACCGAATTTGGGTGAAGTTGTTGCATGAATGCATCTTCGTCCACATGATGGATCATGGACCCATTACAAGTGCGTAAACAACTTTACAATGAGATTTAACATATCCCAGCAACAGACTGGAAACAATGTAGAAATAAAAATGCAACAATGTTAAATTCTAAATGAAAAAAAAAACATTAAAATGCAAAGAGAATATAGATCATTTTTAACATTTATGATCTTATTTTTATTTCTTTAATAACAACTTAAACATAAAAACTATACTTTGTAATTTATCTATTGTCTGCTTTGTTTGGTGATTAATAAATGTAGAGATGTTACTTTTTTTATTAAACGGACACGCGAAATTTTAACTCATTTTTAGAAAAGATCATTCGAAATTAATTAAAAATATTAATTTTTCAATATAAAACTATATCATAGAACGTTTAATTATTTAATAGAAGAGAAGAAACGAAGTCATCTTAAGAAACAAACGAAAGTAAAATCACCTGGAGGTAATAAAGCTCTTTTAAAAAAAATAATAATAATAAAAGCAGTCGAAGGACTTTGGTATTGAAAATAACGAAGAACATTATAACTTCATTTGATTTATTTCAAGTATCTCATACGAGAGAATCGGCGAAAAGGCCGACAAAACACAGAACAAACAAAGGTTCGGTTTACAGAAAGGGAAAAGAAAACAGGAAAAATAAATAAGAATTTAACCCATCGCCTGGAGTAAATAAGATAAAAAAAAAAAAAAAAGATATGGATGTTCTTTCCAAGGTCAGTAGTTGAGTCTCGACCTTGAAACAACCAATGATACGGGAGAGAGAAAAGCATCGTTGAATGGTAAATAATTCCGACTCTGCACGCGTCGCTAACAGACCACTGAAAAAAAAAAAAAACTTATCTAGTGACCACGTTGCGAAGTAAGCGGCGCGTAACCGAAGCGAGTGTATTGCTGGAAAGCTAATGATGCCAAAAAAAAACAATTTTTCTCTCTTAGCCAATGTTAATTGGAAACAATAAATGAACACTTTGTTATCTGATAGTCTCTCCCTGATTGAATTGAAATTAATTTCGTCTACAGAACTTCTGACTACGAATTTTTCCTTTAATTCTTCCATTCGTTAACATAAGATATTCCTTTTATTTCTTTTAATAGTTAATTCTTTCTGGAATGTATTGAGCAGTTGATCCAAAAAATAAAAAAATTAAAAGGAGATTTAAATTTTTAAAATGCTAACAGAGAGGAGAGTAAAAACCAGGAAGAAAAAAAAATTAATTTTGTTATATGTATGCATACATAGAATTATGCTATCGCTTCTCGATAGGTGTTCACCATTATTTTAATTGGTAATATTTAAAAAGAAATATTCATCTTCATCAGCATAACAAATTCGAGTGATTAAAAGGGATATTGGATGGTACGCGGAACTGCCATTTTCCGGGATAACGTTTGCCTGTTGGCACTGTAAATGAATGGTGCCGTAGCCACCACCTGTGGAACACAAATGACCGGACTTTAAGCCATATCCGGTTAATTTTTTTTTTAAATTTTCGCAATAATCTTCTGGAACAAATCGAAAATTAACTTTCCGTAACACATACGAATGGATTTCTGAAGACTCTTTTTACAAACACACACACACACACGAAAAAAACTAAAGTATCTTTAAATGATATATTTATGAGTTTCAATTTCACTTTTTTAAATAAAAAAATAAAAAAATAAATAAAAATAACGTGTGTTAAACTGATTTCATCCATCATGAATGAGTTCTTCGTAGCGAAATTTCATATTTTTAAATTTATTTTTTTACTTTTTTGGGCGAAACCTTTTCTAGAAAAATCCTGACCAGGAAGTGAGAGGTAGGTGGCAGCTGCCTTTATATTTGGCCATCTGCACTACTTCCGCTGCAGCCTCGGTCTCACGTTTTCAGGGCGACATCCCGCCATCTGCAGCCACCTAAAACATTGTTGTCATACCGGCAACGAGCGGATGGAAAGTAATAAAATAACGAGAATGTAAGAAGACTTCCGAAAGCGGAGATGTTTCTTTGAGCATCCCTATCTACTTTCCAATGCCATACCTCAGGAGATGAGACCATAAAGCTTCCCACCTTAGAAATTTGTGAAAAATCACTTCCTTCATTTTTATCCTGATTCAGATAAGAATTTCATTCTGAACCTCACATTGCATAATACTTCATTATAAATTTTTCCAGCCGCAAAAAAAAAATAAGAAATTTTAATCACTAAATTTATAGACTTTGATGTCATTTTTATTTAAAAGTACTTGGTAAATGTAATTATCACCTGGTTAAAGAAACAAGAGCGTAATGCTGGTTTATTTTTTTTTTACCACGCACCAAAGCTATGCATTATCATTTTAAATGCAATTAACTAGATTTACAACAACACCTGATGCAGTTAGCTTTGTATGCAGTATAAAGTACTAATTAAAAAATAATGCAAAATATTATCTTAAAATTTTTTCTTAAATTATTAAATTGCGTATGTTTTTCTAAATTTAAATAGATTTATAATTTATGGTTAAGAATTCTGACTAAGCTATAATTCATCGTAATTTAGAACTATCAATTAGCATCTTTTGTCGTTTACTGTTTCATGAGCCAAGTTCTCTTTTAATATTTCTTGTATTATTATTATTATTATTATTCATTTTATACATTGCTGCAGAAAGTGTAGAGAATCTTAAGCAGTAGCCCTTGACATAAAGCCTGTGGGCTTCACCTTTAATTAAATATAAGATAGTTGAATGTCTTCTTTTACTTTATGGATTTGGCCCTTGAAATTTAATATATGGCAATTTACTTTGTTTAATTTAAATGAATATCATGTATAATGGAGAAAGTTATTACGGCCATATTTTATAATCATAAAAATAATTGTTTTTTAAACGACGGATATTAGGTAGGTCCGTATATCCGCCATGTGGTATCCATCGTATTAGCTTTAGGCAGAGGGTGCTCTCTTTTCCGGAAGTGTTTGCTGTTCATTCCAACTGACAGAAACCACACGATAGCATTAAACACTTCGGTTGATGTGGCGTAAAGTCATAAAAACGCGGACTGACATACAGAGGGGACCTGTCCCACCCTCTATTTTTGAGGTGACACCTGGAAGATTCGGAAACCACAGGGGGCCAGCCTTAAAAAAAGCTCAACCAGGAAGCGGAGCAGAAAAACATCTCAAAACAACTTGCTCTTTCTATCCACGGTACATGAATCACAATAGTAGACGCCCCTCGGTATGACAGCGCACGAAAGCAAACACCATCCGCACTAGATGGATTTCATTCCTCCCTTCCATGTGTCTATTTCTCTTTTTACCCGCGGGAGGGAAATTTAGTGTTTTTTTTTTCCGCCAACCATTCATAAGAACCTGTGCGTCCTACCAGAAGGCAACTTAGGGATTAAAGAGGAGGGCAACACCACCTGCTTCCAGTCGAATAAACAAGTGAAAAGCGAGAGAAACATTTAAAAAGTATTAGTAAAAGAAAAAAGAAAACAACTTGTTGAAATTAATGTTGCAATTAAATCTTTTGTTATATTAGATATTTTTATTTTAGCATTAGGATTTCGTAATAATAAAAAAAAATTCCTTTTGAAAAGGTTTTATAAATACTTTATAAATAGAAAAACATTAAAAAAAATAACTTCCATATAATTTGTAAAGTATTCTTTTTATGTAAATATAAACATAATTTTGTTACTGCACGAAAACAGATCTTTCTAAAATGCTAAAATAAATAAATACCACTTATTTATTCAATTATTAAATAATACAGTCAAACCTGTCTGTAACGACTGAGCAATTTTTCCTTAGTAGACAGGTTTCCACTATATACAGGTTTGATTGTATATATTTATGTATACATGCAGAACTGCATTAACATAGGACTATTCAACTATGGCTGAGGGGCCTCGCCTTCTTAATTAAGGCCTCATCTCAATGCTCATTAACCAATGCCTTTGTTCTTTATCCGAGTCTCTATAAATTGGACGGGCCTCGGAATCTGCTTACACATAGAATTTTTTTTTCTGTATACTTCTTGAAAATTAATTATTATATGTTATTTGTATATGAGAAATGAAAAGTTAAAAAAATAAATTAAAATTTTTGAACTGTTTCAATGTGTTAATTTTCGCGTAAAGGTAAAAAAAATATTGTTATATATAAATATATATAATTCATAATTATAAAAAATAATTTATTTTTATCACATTTATTGTTTTATTTTTAAACAGTTCATAACATAATGAAATAACACAAGAATTAAGACGAAAACAATAATCGTGTTTCATTAAAAAAAAAAAAAAAACTGTTCAGAAGTTGAATGTTTAGTTTTTCTCATACGAATTCTATTATTATCTTGATTTATACGTTTTAAAAATAATATCTAATTAAATAATTGAAAAGACAATGTCACTGTTAATTATAATTATTGAGAAAAGAAGATATTAATTCACAAATTAGCTTGTTAAAAATACTTTTTTTTTTTTTTTTTAACTAAAACCTAAAGAAAAAAAATTTCAAATTATGTATAGATTCATACAGAACTGCACTGTTTTTCGAAAATCCTTTACAGGGACAAGACACAACTTTTTAATCATTATTTTTCAAAGTGTTGATTATCTTTACAAATTTTCTTTCCATAATTCATTTGCTGGCAGATAGGCAGCGTGAGAATATTTCAAGAATATGATTTATTAATAGCGTTATAAGGAAAGAAAAAAACGTACAGAAGTCGTTTATTTAAGTGTACGTAAGAAGAAGAAAAAAAAAACACAGAAAGACTTAATGCTTAATTCGTCTTTTCACGCCACCTAATTCTACTACTAATTCAGTTTCCTTCTCATGATTTGCCGTCCTGTTTACTAACTTTCGCCTGCAGGTAGGTCAAGGTCATTTCGCTTGTTTTGGTGGTTCCTCGGGGTAATCTCGGTTCCCCCCTTCTTCCGCGTGAGAAACATCCCCCGGAGTCACACGTGAGATTGCGCGTTACGCTTGGCAGAATGACGACAGTCGTTAGACTCGTTACCGCCTTTCACTGTTTCTTTCGTCATCTTTTGCTATACTGGCGCCAGCTTGTCCCACCGCATAAAAATCTCTACTTTCTCATTTCTTTATAGAAAACTTTAACGATTTATAAAAATGGCAACAAACATATTATAAT